TCCTTATAGGGAGGAAGTTTTCCCTTCATCCTGTATTGGCCTTTCTGTCTCGCGGTTGATTACCCACTCTAATGGTTATCTTGAGATGATTTCGGGGCTTTAGTGTCCCCGCGGCCCGGTCCTCGACCAGGCCTCCACCCCCAGGAAGCAGCCCGTGACAGCTGACTAACACCCAGGTACCTATTTTACTGCTAGGTAATAGGGGCATAGGGTGAAAGAAACTCTGCCTATTGTTTCTCGCTGGCGCCTGGGATCGAACCCGGGACCACAGGATCACAAGTCCAGCGTGCTGTCCGCTCGGCCGACCGGCTCCCGACCGGCTCCCGACCGGACCGACAATGAGAGAGGCCAAACATGCACAGAGGTGCGGGAAACACTGCATTACACCAACCACACACAAGGTCTTGGGGCCAGATTCATGGGGCCAGATTCATGAAAGCAGTTACGCAAGTACTTACGAACCTGTACATCTTTCCTCAATCTTTGGCGGCTTTGTTTCCAATTATTAAACAGTTAATGAGCTCGGAAGCACCAGGAGGCTGTTTATAACAATAACAACAGTTGATTGGCAAGTTTTCACGCTTGTAAACTGTTTAATAAATGTAACCAAAGCCGTCAAAGATTGAGGAAAAATGTACACGTTCGTAAGTGCTTGCGTAACTGCTTTCGTGAATCTGGCCCAGGCCCCACAGTAGACACTGTGTTGTGTAATACTGTATATACCGACACCTACGTCTCCGGCAGACAGACATTGGGCGGAAGTGGCGTGTGTGGGACGGGGGGAGGGGGGAGTGTATTGTGTATTGGGAGGGGCGGAGACTGGGAAATGCAGCACCTACAGCAACAGCTGTTTTAGTTAGTAGCTTGACACAGTTGGAATACCTTTACCTTTTGCTCCTCCCAGCCTTGTTGACTTGTTTGTGTTGTGGGGGGTGACGAGTTGTGTAGTGGGGGGCGGTAGTGGGTACTTGTTGACACTACCACCAGTGTTGTGGGGGGCGGTAGTGGGTACATGTTGACACTACCACCACCACCAGTGTAGTGGGGGGCGGTAGTGGGTACTTGTTGACACTACCACCACCACCAGTGTTGTGGGGGGTGACGAGTTGTGTAGTGGGGGGCGGTAGTGGGTACTTGTTGACACTACCACCAGTGTTGTGGGGGGCGGTAGTGGGTACATGTTGACACTACCACCACCACCAGTGTAGTGGGGGGCGGTAGTGGGTACTTGTTGACACTACCACCAGTGTTGTGGGGGGCGGTAGTGGGTACTTGTTGACACTACCACCAGTGTTGTGGGGGGCGGTAGTGGGTACATGTTGACACTACCACCACCACCAGTGTTGTGGGGGGCGGTAGTGGGTACTTGTTGACACTACCACTACCACCAGTGTTGTGGGGGGCGGTAGTGGGTACATGTTGACACTACCACTACCACCAGTGTTGTGGGGGGCGGTAGTGGGTACTTGTTGACACTACCACTACCACCAGTGTTGTGGGGGGCGGTAGTGGGTACATGTTGACACTACCACCACCACCAGTGTAGTGGGGGGCGGTAGTGGGTACTTGTTGACACTACCACCAGTGTTGTGGGGGGCGGTAGTGGGTACATGTTGACACTACCACCACCACCAGTGTTGTGGGGGGCGGTAGTGGGTACTTGTTGACACTACCACCAGTGTTGTGGGGGGCGGTAGTGGGTACTTGTTGACACTACCACCAGTGTTGTGGGGGGCGGTAGTGGGTACATGTTGACACTACCACTACCACCAGTGTTGTGGGGGGTGACGAGTTATGTAGTGGGGGGCGGTAGTGGGTACTTGTTGACACTACCACCAGTGTTGTGGGGGGCGGTAGTGGGTACATGTTGACACTACCACTACCACCAGTGTTGTGGGGGGCGGTAGTGGGTACTTGTTGACACTACCACCAGTGTTGTGGGGGGTGACGAGTTGTGTAGTGGGGGGCGGTAGTGGGTACTTGTTGACACTACCACCAGTGTTGTGGGGGGCGGTAGTGGGTACTTGTTGACACTACCACCAGTGTTGTGGGGGGCGGTAGTGGGTACATGTTGACACTACCACTACCACCAGTGTTGTGGGGGGCGGTAGTGGGTACTTGTTGACACTACCACTACCACCAGTGTTGTGGGGGGCGGTAGTGGGTACATGTTGACACTACCACCACCACCAGTGTTGTAGGGGGTGGTAGTGGGTACATGTTGACACTACCACCACCACCAGTGTAGTAGAGGGTGGTAGTGGGTACATGTTGACACCACCACCACCACCAGTGTTGTGGGGGTGGTAGTGGGTACATGTTGACACCACCACCACCACCAGTGTTGTGGGGGGTGGTAGTGGGTACATGTTGACACCACCACCACCACCAGTGTTGTGGGGGGTGGTAGTGGGTACATGTTGACACTACCACCACCACCAGTGTTGTGGGGGGTGGTAGTGGGTACATGTTGACACTACCACCACCACCAGTGTTGTGGGGGGGTGGTAGTGGGTACATGTTGACACCACCACCAGTGTTGTGGGGGGTGGTAGTGGGTACATGTTGACATTACCACCACCACCAGTGTTGTGGGTGGTGGTAGTGGGTACATGTTGACACCACCACCACCACCAGTGTTGTGAGGGGTGGTAGTGGGTACATGTTGACACCACCACCACCACCAGTGTTGTGGGGGGTGGTAGTGGGTACATGTTGACACCACCACCACCAGTGTTGTGGGGGGGTGGTAGTGGGTACATGTTGACACCACCACCACCACCAGTGTTGTGGGGGGTGGTAGTGGGTACATGTTGACACCACCACCACCAGTGTTGTGGGGGGTGGTAGTGGGTACATGTTGACACCACCACCACCACCAGTGTTGTGGGGGGTGGTAGTGGGTACATGTTGACACCACCACCACACCACCACCACCACCAGTGTTGTGGGGGGTGGTAGTGGGTACATGTTGACACCACCACCACCAGTGTTGTGGGGGGTGGTAGTGGGTACATGTTGACACCACCACCACCAGTGTTGTGGGGGGTGGTAGTGGGTACATGTTGACACCACCACCACCACCAGTGTTGTGGGGGGTGGTAGTGGGTACATGTTGACACCACCACCACCAGTGTTGTGGGGGGTGGTAGTGGGTACATGTTGACACCACCACCACCAGTGTTGTGGGGGGTGGTAGTGGGTACATGTTGACACCACCACCACCACCAGTGTTGTGGGGGGTGGTAGTGGGTACATGTTGACACCACCACCACCACCAGTGTTGTGGGGGGTGGTAGTGGGTACATGTTGACACCACCACCACCACCAGTGTTGTGGGGGGTGGTAGTGGGTACATGTTGACACCACCACCACCACCACCAGTGTTGTGGGGGGTGGTAGTGGGTACATGTTGACACCACCACCACCACCACCAGTGTTGTGGGGGGTGGTAGTGGGTACATGTTGACACCACCACCACCACCAGTGTTGTGGGGGGTGGTAGTGGGTACATGTTGACACCACCACCACCAGTGTTGTGGGGGGTGGTAGTGGGTACATGTTGACACCACCACCACCACCACCAGTGTTGTGGGGGGTGGTAGTGGGTACTTGTTGACACCACCACCAGTGTTGTGGTGGAGGGGCTGTAGCGATGGTAGTTGACATAAGTGTCAAGTATCATGGGTGGTGGTGGGCGTGGGGTACCATAGACTAATGGTGTAAGATGGTAGCAGATTATGGTAATATATATTGAGAGCATCAACGGTAGTGGTTGTGGTAGTGCAGGTATAGAGCTGCTGGTAGTTGTGGTAGTGCTGGTAAGCCACACAACACGAGACACTCACAGAAACGAGGCATGACTTGTGTTACAACCATTCCTCCCCCCCCCCGTCCCCTGGTTCCTCTTCCCCCGTCCCCAGGTTCCTCTTCCCCCGTCCCCAGGTTCCTCTTCCCCCGTCCCCTGGTTCCTCTTCCCCCGTCGCCTGGTTCCTCTTCCCCCGTCGCCTGGTTCCTCTTCCCCCGTCGCCTGGTTCCTCTTCCCCCGTCGCCTGGTTCCTCTTCCCCCGTCGCCTGGTTCCTCTTCCCCCGTCGCCTGGTTCCTCTTCCCCCGTCGCCTGGTTCCTCTTCCCCCGTCGCCTGGTTCCTCTTCCCCCGTCGCCTGGTTCCTCTTCCCCCGTCGCCTGGTTCCTCTTCCCCCGTCGCCTGGTTCCTCTTCCCCCGTCGCCTGGTTCCTCTTCCCCCGTCGCCTGGTTCCTCTTCCCCCGTCGCCTGGTTCCTCTTCCCCCGTCCCCTGGTTCCTCTTCCCCCGTCGCCTGGTTCCTCTTCCCCCGTCGCCTGGTTCCTCTTCCCCCGTCGCCTGGTTCCTCTTCCCCCGTCGCCTGGTTCCTCTTCCCCCGTCGCCTGGTTCCTCTTCCCCCGTCGCCTGGTTCCTCTTCCCCCCGTCGCCTGGTTCCTCTTCCCCCGTCGCCTGGTTCCTCTTCCCCCCGTCGCCTGGTTCCTCTTCCCCCCGTCGCCTGGTTCCTCTTCCCCCCGTCGCCTGGTTCCTCTTCCCCCCGTCGCCTGGTTCCTCTTCCCCCCGTCGCCTGGTTCTTCTTCCCCCGTCGCCTGGTTCCTCTTCCCCCGTCGCCTGGTTCCTCTTCCCCCCGTCGCCTGGTTCCTCTTCCCCCCGTCGCCTGGTTCCTCGTCCCCCGTCGCCTGGTTCCTCTTCCCCCCGTCGCCTGGTTCCTCTTCCCCCGTCGCCTGGTTCCTCTTCCCCCCGTCGCCTGGTTCCTCTTCCCCCGTCGCCTGGTTCCTCTTCCCCCCGGGTCCGTCTAGTTACCACAAGCTACACAAGCTTCCTGGCAATACGTTAGTAATGAATAAATATGATATGTTAGGTTAGGCTGACCTAACCTAACCTAACCTAACCGACGCTTGGATCGTCGACTTGATTTGGTGTCACCAGCTCTTTTTTTTCGTCTAATTTCTTTATAAAAAGATACTTTTTTTCAGATTAA